ATAGGGAGGTGTTTTTAATCTGTTTTGATTATAAACATCAAAGATATGCTACGAGGTAAATAAAATACGTTTTCTATTGATAATACTTAGTAGTGCGTCACAATATGGTAATTGAAACGATATTGTGTAAATATTATGGTAAGGAAAACTTTGATTTATCAATAGGTGATTAACATAAAAACAGACATTACCTTAGAATGGTACAGTGAACGTTTAATCTAATTTATTGTTTTTTAAAATTTATTCGTCATCCATGACGTAAGATGGCTGACCTACACCTTTTTGGGCACTTAATATAAACAGGCCCGCATGTCAATAAACCGAAAAGGACAAAAAACTTTATAAATAAATGTTAAGTAGGCAATACTCCGTAATAACGTACAAAACATACTTGCATTTTATGATAATGAAGTTAAATCAATTCCCCGTAACGGTCCTCTACTAGGAAGAAGCTACGTATATTAAATTGAGATAAAGATAGATAGTGTGGCTATATAAATAAATGTTATACAATATGTTTTACACTAAAATAATTATTATTTAATATTGTCTTATTAAAGAAAACATTCCTTTTGTACATTGTCTTTACATTTGATTCTAGTCCATGGCAAAACTTATTATATTGACTTATTTTATGTACAAGAAGAATACATAGCTTTTTCCGAAAGAGTGAATTAAATTTAATACAGACAGCTCTAAACTTACCCACCGACAATTAATTTGACATTTTGACCTTACACCGGAATACAGCCTAGACTAGCTCGGAGTTCGATGTTTGTTTTTACTGGGTCTGTAACCAGGCTAACGGAGCAGTCGACTAATGAATTCGGAATTACAATAATTAAACACTCAAGTAAGATATTCCACTAGACACCGTACTGGAATGCATATTAGGTAACCAGCTCTGCCGCGACCTTGGTGACTCTATTTAATATGTATGTTTATTTTTATCACAGTACAATATCTATTCTATCATTCACTGATGAAATAAAATGTAAGAACAAAAATTACTGTTTGTATATTTTTTATTTTTGTGAATTTGCATTTACAGTTCGATTATTGGGACACCCTCATGGCATAGTATAAAGAACAAAGTAGGTTATCTTCATACAAATGCTCCGCGCGCGGCTTATATGTGTGCGCCATAGTATCTATGCGTCGACGCACGCACACTTTAACAAAATCTCGACCCGTTTCTCAGTGCGCCAGGCAGGGCTAACACTGCACGAGGTTCGCGCGCGCTTCACGGCTTTTCGGCACTGTTCAATGAAATAAAAAATGTCTGATAATCGTAGAAGAACGTATTGCTGTGTGTTTGGGTGTCTTAATAATTAATCGATTCCAGAACTGTCTCTGTTCAGATTAGGTACCTATTGAACAGGAAAGGTAAGCTAGTCACTTTTTCTAGCATAATATAATTTGTAGGTAGTTGATGATGAGATACCTACTTACTTATTCTTACTCTTATCATTCTTCATAGTTCCTACTCAACCAGAAATCTAATTACCTACTATACTTAAATATTATAAGAAAATGTGGTATTGTATTGTTTATTTCACAGTTTATCTGATTTGTTAAGAGCGTAGCAGAGTCGCATTTTTCCATATAAATGTATTCCCAAATTTACTTTCTGAATACTATGTATAGAGCTAAAGTTTATTTTAAGAAGTTAATAATCTTTTTATAAGCTTTATATTTTTACTAAATTTATAAATTGATAAAATATTCAATCATAATATGCTTTTCATTTCATAAATTTAGATCAAGTGCTGCTTGTTCGAAAATATTAACTAAAAGTAAAAGTGACAACCCTGGGGATCAACGCAAGAGTAGGCTAATAACTCGGCGGGCGGCCTTAGATAACCTACTGTGTTCTTTATACTATGCTCATGGTGGGTATAAGTTCTGGAAGGTGAATTTGTATGTATTATTTATGAACTAACACTGTCCTGCATTTTACATAGCTCGGTGATAAATTGCCTACCTATATAAGTATAACCTTCATCGAGAATAGGAACCATCAGATATTAAAATATTTTATCTAATCGGTCTCCAGAGATTTAGCAAACAAAAAATCTTTTTTACATTATTATGTTAGGACAGACAGATGATCATGATAGCCCATGTATTGTTCGATGCTGATACTGATTAGATAATATGCTAGTGATTTATCAGACTTTGTTTTTTATGGCTTAACTTCACCAACCTTTAGCCCTGTAGCGTTATTGATCTAGGTACGTACTTCCACAAACCAAAGTTTGGAGAAATTGAAACGTGCTTCTAACCATGTCTACACTTATTTTAAACGTGATTTTATTTGTCTTTTAGACACGTACTTACTTTCTTTGTAATTCTTTACATACTTATTGCAAAATATGATGAATTATATGAGTACAGAATGCGTACTAACGTTTGTGGTGCAATCATGTTTCAATATCTAAGTAAACGAACAACATTAATATATGTATATTATATGTATTGTATACTGTCTAGATTCATACAAGTTATACTAATCTACTGATGACTTGCGCAAACGGTTCGAGGAAGCTTACAAATTGTTATAAACACGCCATATTGTTCTGTTGCACCATGGAGAATCAAAGATGGCTGCCGTCCTTGTTTGCCGCCCAAACTGTGGCAATATACGCGGTGTTTGTATCGTCGTATCGTTCATTGTAAGGTTCTATCAACTCGCGCCACCATTTTACCAGTTAGCCGATGCAAATCATTAGAAAATAGTGGCAATGAAACTTTATTTGCACAAGGTTAAATAAATTATTGTGTAAGTTCCAGATCTTCGTGCCGAGGTTCAAAGCAATCTGTCATTAATCATGATAATCATTAGGTATCAACTAATTAAACCTAATTACTTCCGTGTGTAGATACTTAATACGTAACTGAGTATCTACTTGGTTAATAATAAGTATTTTATTATTGTGCATCTAGGTAGGCTTTTGAATTCCCGTCAATAGATAAATAGATTACCTATTTTGCTTTGTAGGTTTGACTAAATAGGTACATAATATGTTAAAAATATTACATACATTCTTATATACATTCTTTACATTAGGAATAGCTACAAATTCATTCACATCTTTAAGGAAACTGATGTTGACAATGGTTCTTATTAGTATTTTAATTGCTAAAAGTACCAAGTGTGAAGCTCTTAGCAAATGATTTAATAAAACCGGCAATTGAGTAAATCAGACAAGGTCTACGCACACCTACTGCTGTACAAAAGCAGGAAAATGTTCACGACAACACGCTAGAACCGCTTTTTATAACGCCTACCGAGACAATGTTAGTAAACAATACAATGCTATTCACATACAACTAATAACAGTTTCTACTTCATTCTTATTTAACGGATAGTGCGGGTTTGTTTATGAAAGACAAATTTTCACGCACTTGATAAATAGAGAGTGACCTCCATTCGTGAGATTCGTCGGGTAAGAGTTACGTAAATATGTTTACACTGAACATAATAACGTAAACAAATGTGACCATAAACTTGATAAACACGGAGTATATAAGTGGGCACATGGAATAGTTCGCTTGATGACGTAACGCTACCGTGCGCGCCAGTTCGCCGGCTCTAACTAAACATGTGACTCGTATAAAATACTATTTTGGTAATAATATGAATCAAATTCCTTAGAACTAGTACTTTACGCACAAAAGTTTGATTGTACGTTTATTTTATCGTGATGCTATGACGGTATGCTCACAACTATTGAAGTCATAATTCTAAATTTTCTAATGCTTCGAACTAAAAGCATTAGAAACGTAACCGAACAGAATGTAATCATATGTGCTACAATAAGTTTTATCAATTTATCATTTAATAATTATTAACCTAATCTGAACATATCGAATTACATTAGTTATATAGACTCAGTTCATCTGCATTGTTCATCTAAATATGTAGCTAATGCATGTCACCACTACGAGGTACACTGTTGGAAGTCCAGATAAAAATAAAATTATTGTTATTTTTAGTGTATTGAGGTTAAGCTTAAGTAAACTATCAGTAGGAATTTATACATACTAATTATAGTATTATATAGAATTGAAATACGTGATTTATTGTTACATACAATGATGAAAATTTGTTTTCTACATAAAACAATTTACGATTAGATTCGCATCTATGTAATCGTCTAAATATTGGTAGATATCAATTATAAAATATGTGCGTAGCCGTAGTTAGGTCACGTTAACTGCGTTGCATAAGTGGGTGCATCTGCTTGACATTTGAATCGACCCCGAATCCGAATAGAAACTGTGTCACGTATGAAGCGTCCGCGGACAGTGGGTACGGGCGGCGTCGGTGCGTTGTGCAATCCCGTTAGCGCTCCACGTGCGAACCGAACCGGCGCGCCTCAATGTCGCCCGTGGGCGGCTGCCCTCCGCGTACCGCCCGCCCACCCGCTGAAAATAGCGAGTCCGCCCGAACGCCGGCCGAAGCGCGTGAGCCACCGAGCAGCCGTCTAGCTCAGGCATGCGGCCGTTGACTCGGTCGTCTCGCTCGCGCGAACAGCTGAGTATCAAAACAAAGGAGCGAGACGGGCGGTCGCCGCTCCCGCTCGCCGGCCGGCCGGTGTCGCCGGTCTCGACGCGCCGCACGCACTCACGCCAGTTCGTGTTCGAACCGCGCTTATTGAGGTCGTCCGCTGTGAGCTCGGTTACGAAGTTTAGTAACGCGAAAGGATTTTCCTTTGTCCCGATCCTCGAGGACCCTGCCCTCGTATTATGTTTCTACGCGAGAGCCGCGACCAGCCCCGGCCTACTGAGGAGCCGGAAAGCGCGCAGCGTGCTGAATCGCGACGAAATTTTGTCAGTTTTCCAAAATTCTGTGACGGTTATCCCGCGAAACGCGTACGCCGGGCGATTTGAAATTTTGAGTGAAGGTGTGAGTAGAATTATATTTCGGCCACCGGACAGTGTAGTGAGGCCGTGAGTGTCCAACAAATAAAAAAGTAGAGTGAGGACTGAGCACCATGTCCACAGGCAAGCGACTCGCCAAGCGGTCCATCATCGGGACGCGCGTCGCGGCTTTGGGTGATGACGGACTGTACTATTCGGGGATGATTCACGCAGTGAAGACACCGGCGCCCTTCCCAGAGAACAACAATTGCATCAACTTGACTCCGAACACTCGTTACACAGTACGTTTCGACAGTGTTATGATGAAGAACCGCGAGTACCGGGACGCTGAGCTCATTGGACCCGGCTTTCGCGGCATGACGGGGGTGCGTCTCAAAGAAGGACAGCGCGTTTTCCTCACCTACAATGGCCGCGAGGTGCACGCTGACGTCAAGCACCACGACTACAACACTGACGAACTGCTCGTCCAGATCTACTCTCCTACTTCTGAGGTCAGTTCTACAAATACTGCATTTACTGCACACACTCATTCATTGTCTTATTCTGATTTACAACTTAATACAATTCAATATGGTAACATTTAAGTTGCAGAACAAATTAGAGGTTTTATTCGACAAAAAGTTCTATCAAAAGACATCAACGACTTTCATAAAACTTTACCACCAAGGCAATTATTTAAACAAAAGCAGTACTTGGCGAGTAAAGCATGCATAGGACAATGATGGATATGCATTTATTTATAATTGGAGCGTTTAATAGTGTGCGTGTGAACAATGATCGGTTATTTGTAGTGTATGCAGTTCGAGGCGATGTTGTAGTGTAGGCGGAGTGGTGGAGCTATTGACCCCGCTCCACGTGCAGCGAGCGGTGCGCGATGCACCGGCCGCTGCGGCCGGCTTTGCTTGACGCATCGCACGCGCACGGTGCAACCATGTAACTTATCGCAACGGACCTACACGCGCGGCCGCCGCTGCCCGCACCATCACGGTCACTCTGACTCGTTACCAACACTAACTATACATTCTGCATAACTATTCCACTAGTTATATACAGTTACACAAAAATTGCTCATGATTCAATTATTGAACTTTATGACATCATTTATTTATTGTTATAAAAAATGTAATAGTATACAGGAGATCAATAATTTTCCTATGCATTATCTATAGCAGCAGAGATAATTACATTGTAATAATGTATTGTTGCAGTGGATCTGTTTTTTTAAACACATGATCACGTTAATCCTTCGACATAACAGGAAAATACGAACTGTAGTATAGATACCTATTAGTTGGCAGAATTGTCTGACGCTTAAGTACGGTAGAGGTAGGCATTTTATATGTATTTAAATAGATATTGGGGCTTAGCACCAAGGGCAAAGATAACACTATCGATCATTAAAAATTCGGCAGCACTCGCAAGGTGATGCCTTTATCATTGAAAACATTAAATGCATTTCAATCATTTTACAATAGAGATTAGATAAAGCGGTAGGTCACGACACCAATACAACCGGCTGCACACAGCGCACCATGCACTATCGGCTAGATAAACAAAGAGTACACGTGTCGCCGTTGTTACAGTTAGATGTACGTATGTACTTGTTGAAATCAACCCGGCCCCGGTTTAATGCGTAGCACGTATTTGGCGTCGTGTTGCTCAATTCGGGCACGCATGCGCTAAATTTTGTAAGCTGGTTTGACCGTTATACTAAAGTCAAACTGCGCGCCACAAACAGGTAGCCGAAGATTCCTATAATCACCTCCTCCGGCACTACGCCACAGATTAAAGTAGATACGTAGTTATTGTTCGACGCCGGCCGGCGCGGCGGGCGGCGCGCGGGCAGAGCCGGCCGGCGCGCGCGCGTCATGCGTCATCAGCATCGGCCGGCTTATCGTCGGACACAATTTGTACACAATATTAAATTCATGTTTAATTTCCACAGTCGATAATTGACCGGTTGACCCAACTTGGTATTTAAATCTGGCCGTCAATTTGTTTGTCAAGGCTCGATAAAGGTTTTATTGGCATTACCTTCGTTTTTATATTTCCAGTATATTAAAGCCTTCAATTTTATGCGATCTCATACTTATGATATCTTTATAACCGGTGCTGGTCCCGCAGTCCCGTTTTGTAAATTATATCAAAAATTAATTTAGCTATTAAGAAAATCTGGAACAGTAATGAGTAAAATTAAATCTGGACTTTCGTAATAAAACTAATTACTAATTAGCTACTCATGTCGCCTCGCTTAGATTGGCAGCACCAAACATGTTATGTTCAAAGTTTTTACGACAAGATCAAGAAAGCAGTGGCGCAGTGATATTACAACAGTAATAACAATAAGGAAGCGAGGTGCGCGCGCGCAGGCCTTGTGCCGTTGTGCGTAAATCGTGACGTAGCACGCGATACTAGCGTGACGCGACACGACGCGCGCCCGCGGCCCGTGCCTCGCCCCTTGCCTCTTTACTTTACTATTTCAAAGAGATGATGCCATATTTACGGTCCATCTTCAGTATTTATCTATTCGTAACGTGTAAACAACTGACACAACATTTTACATTCTACAAAATCACATAGCCCATACATAATCAAACGTTGTATTTCAGAAACATTAATGATAAATTACAAATAGTTCCATTACAAAGCTATCTGACACACAACAACGAACATTAAGTAAACGGCGCGATACGCACTTGTTTACTAGTTCGAATGCCGGTGTATTGTACGAATAATAACAGCCATCTACGCTGTTAATATATGAAACAGTTTTTGCGTCACCGCACGCTAGATAGAGCGGCGCACTTCATGAAAACAACTTGAGAGATAACACGCGATCGAACGACACTAATCAAATGTTTTTCATACGACGTAGAAATGCAGGAGAAACCCAAATTGTATAGGAATTATTGAAAAAATTCTTAATTACAGCAATAGTCAATTTATCAGCGAAATGACGTGCGGTATTCCCCAGGTGCGGTTCTGTACGCTCGCAAGCGTCAGAGCTGACAAACCCGCTCTACATGTAGCTGTACAGAACTGACATACGATCAAACAAAACCTCTCGCTGACTCACCGCCGCATTCATGTTCATAAACAACTATTATTTTACCGGCAAACCCGGACAGGGGAATTACGTAATGAATAGATATCTGCATTTAACGTGTTTAAAACACATTCCTTCCTTACATTATGTATCTGCCACAGAATCCTTGTTACTAATATAGATTACGTTTGAATAACACTCAGATTTATACAACATTCGAAAGCGACGCCGCCATATAACGTCAGGCAATAAGATATAAAAATAAAGAGTGCTCGGCTGAGAAATAAGGTCACCGGCAGGCCCGGAACCGAGTAACGGTATTCGTTACAAAATCGCGTCAAGAATTATTTTCACGTGCGCGCGGCGCCGGCGGCCATACCGTTAGCCAGTGGCGGTCCAACGTCAGCTAACCTTACCACAGGCCGCTATTAAGTGGAACACTTATAGCTAGCTGTTACAGACCTGACCGAATTACTTGGACTTTGTAATCAAGACGTTTTCGTTGTTTAGGCTCTTAAAAAAACTCGAACATTCTTAGTAAAGAAATAACTAAACACTCCATCTGAAACCATACGTGGAAATTACGCAATCGGTATTTAAATCGATTTCCCCAGTATCGGCAACCGGCGAAACGCCTTTCGTTTGTGGAGGTCGTAAACGATCCGAAGTGAGTAGTGAATTGAGCCGGCGCCGGCGTCGGGTCCACAAGCAGCGAGTGACGCGATCACTCCGTAACCACCGCAAGTGTGAAAGTGTCAGCCACACCTGCAGTCTCCACGTACACTGTGTGCTGTGTACAGACTTGGACTCTGTTTCAGATTCACTTGCGCGTGGCCTCCACTCATACCCATTAAGTATATAGAATCGACTCCTAGAAAATCGCCATCTTCGTATACCAAACTAACCGATAATGTGCTTTACCGATACTGTCTCTACCAGGATAATTCCACAACTGTATAAAAAAACAATCTGCCACCATTGAATTTCTTCAAGAGTAATTTCTGAATGCATATTAAATGGACGTAAACAGAATAAAGAGATTAATTCTTACATAACCTTGTGAACATAACATGACTGATGACATAGTTCTTTAGTGTATTGCAATCGTTTTGAAAAGTAACTACATTGCGCAAAATCCCTGAAATATAGGTACTTTTACCATTTTTGTCTTCTTCTCGATATTTTAACAGTCTCCGAGTGGTGTTGTGGCATTTTTCATCATACAATCTGACCGCCGATAGAACAGTTCACCAATCTGTTTCTTTACTTAATGGCGATATTTACTCTTTCGAGTTACGATCACTGAATGGAATCTGCGTTAGCATATAGTCGCAAGTAATATTATAGACAGCGAATGTATTGAAGTAACGAGCTAGCACGCGTGTCCGTATAATATAAACTATGGCGACTCAGCAGTTGGAAGACACTAATAACTTACCAACGTTGCAATTAATATCGCATTGCTTACATTGTTAGTGAAAGTGGTTATGATTCAAAAGCGCATTATAAATGCGTTTTCCAGATTTTCCAGTCCAGTTAAGATTTTTTTCGATACAACGAAGACACTTACACTCATGGCGCTTACCGTTGCGTGGTATCATCGTCGCGTGTTCGACGCTAATTTTACTCAGCTTTGACTGTACTGTTTGTTTTCCTACCTTACTTATATTTGTATTTAATATTCATATATATGTGCGTATGGGTGTTATTGTATTTCTCTTACTATCTATGAAATAAAAGTAACACAATACAATATTAATAAAAATTTCTTATTATATTGCACAATGACGAATGGACCGTTTTCGTTTTAGACGGAATTATACCTAAGTTTACGTTGAAAGCGCAAACGGAACTAAGCTGTAAATAGGCCTTGGTGCGGCAACTATGGGAAGAGAAAACTAGTCCCTCGTCGCCCCCTGCGCCGGCGTCGCACCAACCGCTGCCCGCGCTACCGCTGGCCGGCCGGAACTCGACGATACTCTTCACTTTTATTGTGTACCTACGTCTAATCTATCGATGTGAGATTATACAAATATATGTACTGGACGTAATACTCAAATTATAGCTAATACTATAATTTTACAGTTAGAACGTCTCGTGACATGGTTTCTAAATAATCAAGGTTGATAAGATAACACTAACACAGATTGTTAGTACAAGACGTAACAGAATGCCGAGAGCCTGATAGCTTAGGGCTTGCTGTAGGTACTTCTTGCTTACTTGCTTGGCAACTGCGTCGCTTAAGATAATAAGCAGATAGTAAACGTCTCAATTGGCACTGCTGCTCTGCAATATAAGACACTTATGTATTCACATGGTATCAATCCCCCTTAAAGAAGAAACTATAGTTCATGACCCACATGTATGTATGGGTGTAAATGTGAAGGTTATGGTGTTTATCGTTGGCCCCAAGATTAAGAAACTACAAACGCAACAATCGTACTT